ATAAGTATTGGAACAGTAAAGACAAAATTGCTCTGCTTGCTGTGGAGTAAAGTCATTTGCAAATATGATTAAAAGATGAATATGAGACAAAACTGCAGAATGTCACATTTTATTATTAGCTGTTTCAACACATACATATTTTACCAAATAAAAAGGACAGCACTTTTAGAGTTCATCCCACTATCTGATGTGAGCATAAGTATTGGAACAGTTGCCTCACAGTTCTTTGCAGATCTCTTGCGTGCAATCACAGCAGTGAGTCTGCGACTCATAGACATCACCAGACTCTTAGTCTCATCTTTTGAAATGCTTTTCCAAGCCTGTAATGCAGCCAATTCCAACTGTTGCTTGTCTTGGGGAGTTTCTGCCTTTAGTCTCCTTTTCAGCTGCTGAAATTCATGTTCAATCGGATTTAAATCTGATTGATTGATTTGGGCAATCTAAGACTTTACATTTCTTTGCCCTGATAAACTCCTTGACTGAACTGGCAGGGTGTTTTGGCTCATTGTCCTGATGCAATATGAAGCGCTTCCCAATGAAACTGGTGGCATTTCCTTGAACATTGGTAGCCAAGATGTTTCTGTATACTTCTGCAATCGTTCTGCTACTGTCATCATATATTAAGTCATCATTAAAGTTGAGAGGGCCTGTTCCAGAGACAGCTATGCATGCCCGTGCCATGACACAACCACCACCATGCTTTACAGATGAGGCTGTATGCCTTAGGATTAGGGGTCGACCGATTATCGGTGCCGATATTAAGCATTTTATGATTATCGGTATCGGTCATTTTCAAAACCGATTCGCCGATAAAATAACTTAATTTTGAAACGCGCTATTTGGTTCTGATGCAGCCTGTGGCCTAAAGCAGTCTCCGCCCACCGCTCATCTGATTTGTTGGGAGTCATGAGTCCGACCAATCAATGCGGAATTCACTCTCACTCCTAAAGCGCTTGCTAACTGGAGCTGCTTCAGTGATCACGCATCAGTTGTCTCTCAAAGGTAAGGCAGCAGCAGACGTTGCTTAAGTTGCAATAGATCCCAATCCACTAACGTTACACGGAAGTTGCAAAACACCTCAATATTATCTGATTTCCGCGATGCGGAAAACGCGGACGGAATC